TCATGGAAAAATAAAAATAGCTTTTAAACATTTACACAGATTCCCAACCTCCCTCATAAGAGAATTTTAAATCGAAATTAGAATGAGATAAAATTTTAATTATGACTCATTCATCCAAGATTAGAAAACTTAAAATACACTGAATTTATGTTTATGATGGTTTAAGAAAACAAACTTTCTTCATTCCTGGTAAATGTAAATTGGTAATAAAAGCAGGTGAACTTGTTGAGTACTGTGCTTCCAAGTACTCTTTTAATCACCATGCATTGATACAGTTCTTGCAATTACCTCATAAAGAACATACTTTTATTTTTGCAGGCAAAGAAAATGAGGAAAAGTTTAACAAGCAAGACAAGTAGTCCGGTTTTACAGCTTGTAAAAGGCAGAGTGAGAAGTAGGAAGTTGCTGTTAACGTCCACTCTTTCTAGTCCCAACTCTGAAATTATTTTAATAGCCAAAAACCTGATAGCACATGATAGAATTCTCAAGAGTTCATGCCCTTGATCCAGTGAAGTCTGCTTCTTAAAGTTGATCTCGTAGCTTGTCTATATTGCATCAAATAGATGCTGATAGGGTGCACTGAGCATTACTTGAAGTATGGAAAGATTGAAAACAATCTAAATAGTCATCAAGGGCTGATTAATTAAATTCGTGTCCATCTACATAAAAGAAAACAAGGCAGGTTTAAAGAGAGTTAGCATTCTATGTGGTGATATGTAGTTATATTTTTAGAAATTACATTTTTACTTGTTTTGTGCATATACATGGGCATGTGAATGTGTGAATGTGGAGGTCAGAGGATAACCTGGAGGAGTCAGGTCTCTCCTTCCACCATGTGGGTCCCAGGGATCAAATTTAAGCCATCAAACTTGGTGGCAGGAGCCTTTGCCCACTGAGTCATTTCACTGGCCTTGAAATCATCTTTAAAATCAGTATAATAAAAGAAAAAAAATCCCAAGATGCAGAATGGCATATAGAGATGTTTCTATCCATTTGAAAAAATAAATTATACATGCATATTGTTATATGTGTAAACTATTTCTGGAAGGATAAAGCCTTATCTATCAGGGTTTGTTTCCCAGGAGGGAAACTAGGTGTCCTGGCAGCAGATTTAGGAGATTATGAATTTTGTCTCTTGTTTATGCTTTCACTTAGATACAAAACAGTCATGTGAATGGTCCTCAAATACACATTTCCACTGAGGTCAGTTGGTGGGAAAGCAAGCATAGCCTAGGGCTTCACACAGATATGGCTTCAGTTTTAGGCTGTTGAGTGGGAAAGAGGTTATAAAGACCCTCTAGCCTTACACAACAATACTCACTCCCTAGTTTTGACACTAGCTGGAGAAAGAAGTTCTTAGAATTCTATGTGCTTAGGGTCAGGCCCTCCCAACCCTGCTCTATTCTCCAGCCAGAACTGCAAACAACTCCATCCATACCATGACACTGGGTACCCCATCCCTCTAGCATTCTGTGCATTACTAACGTGAAACTTCCCTGCTTTCTTCAACTCCAAACACTACTTTGCTTTTCCCTCTGCAATGAATACTCCACCTCTAATAAAGGTGATTGAACTACTTATCCAAATATTTGGATTCATTCTTGCTTTAGTAGAGACCCAGCTTTCCCAAGAGCCTACAGCTCCCCCTGCAGTCTTTTTTTGAGGTGACTGCTTTCTGAACCATTCACCCCCATCCCTGGAGATGCTGCAATGCCTTCCTTCCATATCTCTATTTCTATCCTTAAAATTTCTCAGCATTGATACACAGCCATCAGGCATCTCTACCTCGCACTGCTTGATGCCGTTCTGTTCAAATGACTAGTCTATTATTTTGACCTCTTGAAGACAAAAGCACCTTTCTAATTTAGGTCACTCATGGTCATGCTACTCTGGATATAATTTGATGTGTTTTTACACATGCTCTGGTAATCTTAGGTTTCTTTTCTTTCAAAGATCTTGGCACATTCCACAATTTTCCATTATTGCTGCTATTTATTACAGGGTTTCATGATGTAGCCCTGGCTGTCCTGGAACTCTGTATGTGATCCAGGTTGGCTCTAAACTTGCCTGACTTGGCCTCTTGGATGTTGGATTATAGTGATGAACCACTACGCCTGGTAACAACAATTCTTAAAAATATCTCAGAGCATATCAGCATCATATAGAACCTGTTAGGGTTCTTGTCTTTGCATCTTCATCACCAACAACTCTCTCAGTTTAGATTTTAAGCATCCTTCCTGTTCCCTTTGGTCCTCTTAACCCACCTGACTCTTCCCTCCCCAAATCCTTTAGCCCCACTGAGATCACAGTCACTTTGCCACCATGTCCCCATTTTCCCCATCTCTAGCCACCTACTCAGTGGCACTTTTCTTTCAAGCATTGTATCTAAAGGGTCAAAAATCTGGCCAGTTCTACTCTCAAAAATATATTCAGAATCTGTTTTTTTGTTGTAATTTCTATTGTACACACTCCAGTCTGAGAACAATCATCTCCCACCAGAACGTTACCAACCATGCTGACTTTGTCCTCCCATGGGCCCTCCTGTGTTCTCTTCTTACATAGAAGTCAGAGTGAGCCTTTTGAAACTTAAGGTTATGTTGCTGCTTTGCTCAAAATTCACCACGCTTCTCCTACTCCACAAAATATGGAGTACCTGAAACTACCTGCAAGTCTTTGGGGAACCTGACTTTCCCTGCCAGGCAGTCACCCTCATCTCCATCCTCCCTCTGCCACAGCTGAGCTTCATTTCTGTCCCTTGGAATACCATTTGGCCTGCTCTGATCTCCCTTATTTGTTTGTCTCCTGCTCTTAAAATGCCACTTTTGTAAGGATGGAGGTTTCAATAATGAAGCCTCAGATTCTATGCCCCTGCCTGACTCACAGTAGGCATGCAGGTATTGTGAATAAATTAAAGAATGTAAAAACACAGGGAAATAAGTCATATTTTATAACAGCAACTTTACTGGGACAGTCTCTGTTTACAAAATGAAAGAGAAACTTCTGGTAAATGTACCAGGTAAAATAAATGTGAACAGGACATTCTACCTGACTGTTGGTGTCTAAAATTTAAAGCCATTTTCTGTCTTCGTCATATTTTAATAAAAGCAATCCAGATGTTTACCTGCTTAGTCATTCTTTGTTAAAGAATAGCAGTTTAGCCTTGGCTACAGTATTCTTACCTGATCCAGAATCATGCATTATGTTTAGTTATCCTTGCTTTAGTGTCCTTTAAAGGGACAGAGTTTAGGAATATATAAATAGTTTGTTGCTAATTGATTGTCGCCAGATGATTAAAAGTAAAATTTTCCCCGCTCTGTAATTCCGTACATATCTGCTGCTATTCTAAGACAGTGTTTTCCTCCTTGTCATTTGTTTAGTGTCAGTGTAAACCATTGGGTTGAGTGTTTCAAAACGTCAATACAGGGTGATACATTACTGTCATGTATCTCATTTTGTATCAAATCAGGATTGGTTAGTAGAAGTCCAGGATGTTTCATCAGAGGTTTTTGTACAAATGGAACAAGGACTAGGTAATAGGAGAATGTGGAGTAGAACAGGCACAGCCACAGCTTCCAAGACCCCCCAAAACAGCACCACCAACTGGGACAAAATGTCCAAATACCTGGAGCCTATGGGGGACATTCTCACCCAAACCATCACAGGATGGGAGGAGAGGTCTCTGATGGCCACTTTAAAGGACTTGGGCAGTATCCACAGGCTGTGAGGAGCGGCGGTAGCTTTGGAACAGTGAAGCACTGGCAGGAGCTGCAGTTCCAGAGTATGTAAACTAGGGGAAGCACTGAGGGTGGGGTGCCTCGGCCCTAGAACCAGAAGAGGACAGGGACAGATGAGCCAGGCCTGCAAGCAGGCAGTTCCCAGTGTGGGATTCTGGGTGCTCATTCAAATACAGAAACTGGAAAAAGTCAAGACTTGGGCCTGGGTGGCATCTCAGCCTGGGTGACTGGGAGGTTGATGAGGCTTCTACTCAAGTTTCTGGGAAAGGTACAAGGAATTCAGCACGGCTTTGTTCTTTTCACATCCCAAACTCTCTCCTTGGATTCAAAATAGTATGTGCTGGTGAAACATTTTTGTTGTATCAAATATGATAAGAGATTAAATATTCTCCCTACTGAGGCATGCAACACCCAGTATGATATAAATGGATATTTATTTACTTATCTTTAGTAATGGTTTTGTTAAACATGGAAAACATGGATGTTTATAACTGCCTTTGTAACCTTGAAACGTGGGCCTGTGACAGCAACTTACCATAAAAGAAACGATTTCTTTTGGCTCCTGCCCCTTCCTAACAACAGAAATTTACTCTGCACCTGCTCCAACCAGGTTCTCAGTGCTAAGCATCTTGCAAGCCCAGAAAATTGCAGTATCAAATCTCAGTCCCAACTGTGAGGCGGCACCATTCCTGCTCCCCTCTGAGGTGCCTTCCCAGCTCCCAGGAGAAAAGTGCTTTTTCCCTGACTCTTTTTCTGGTTTGAACTCTGACCTAAAACCTCCTTTTAGCTACCAACATGCACTGCTCTGGTTGATGACAGTGACCCATCCCTGTTTGCTCCATTTTGTCCCTGGGGTCATCGGTAGGTCAGGCATCAGTAGTCCTGGGGTCACTGAGTGCCCAGCTCTAGTAATAAAGATTTTTATCTAAGGAGAGGAAATGCGCCTTTATATCTATTGCAGCCTTTTACGTTTGGCCAGAAGGAAATTCCACTGTAATGCTTGCTGCATCATCTGGGATTGGGCCAGTATATATGAGGATTGCTTAATATTTACCAGTTGCTTTTATTTATACCTTCCTTCATAAATAAAATGCCTTGCTATAATACATGATTCATCTGAAGAGGAAAAAACATCTTGCTTCACTCCTAGGAAAGTAAATGATTTAAAATCAAGCCACCCTCAAGAAAAATTTAGAACACAAAGCAAATGCTATTTAAATCTGTGTGTGGCAGTCTATTGACAGTCTAACGTTATTTCCATTTTAGGTTTTACGAGTAGACCAAAGGCTTTAAAAATCCTCCTTAACCCTGAGAGTCACAAAAAAGAATCTGTCCAAGTCTATTATGAGAAGGTGGAGCCTCTGCTGAAGCTTGCCGGGATAAAGACTGAAGTAACGAGTGAGTTATTTTCAGGATATAACTTCACCACTTTAAAAAGCACATGGAACCTGTATCTTAGCCGAACTCGGGCAGCTCCTACAGCGCCAACACGCTGTTTTTGTGCTCCTGTGGTCTACTGCAGCCAGCTCCAGCGTTATCAGTTACCTTTTATTGTGCTACTTTTATTGAAATATCAGTATGTTAGCCCTCTTTCAGAGTGTAACACTTATTAGGCATTGTTTGAAAGGGACCTATGTTTTTGAGATCTTGCTGTTTTTCTGTGGATTGTTTCTTGAGGTTGATTTTGTTCTGACTCTGACCCCTGCTGGTTAGGTCAAAATTAAGCACTAAACTGCTGATTTTAGTTGAATTTGTAGAACTAGGAGTTTAAACTCATTGTGTAAAATAAGAATGAATTTAGCTTTTTGCTAGGGAAAATGGAAATTGTCTTAGGCAAAAATTACTAGAAAGATTATTAATATACTTTTGAACATTTAAAATTTAGTCACCAATTCCTTTGTTTCCTTAAAACTTATTTCCCTTCTAGCTGGAGACTGAAGAGGGTGAATCTTTTCTGGAATCAGAACTTTTCTAAATTTCTGTCTGTATAACTTCACTAAACAATGGAAATCTGCTATACATTTTAATTGATGAATTCTATAATATAATTAACCTACTCAGGAGACAAGCTCAGAGTGCAGTGGAGTCTCCTAGTCTTAATTACTGAGTTTCTTGGGGAGGGACCTGGCTTTGCTCAGCTGTAACAGAGGGAGAAGGCTCTCCCAATGTTATTAATAAGATCATTGAAGTTGAGTGACTTGAAGGACTGAGGTAGAAGGAAGTGTCTACTAAGAAGCAGCTTTGTGGGAAGTTCAGTTACCCCAAAAGACATGTACTACATGGAGATTAAAGAGATGTTACCAACACTGAAGAGGAGCCAGAAAAGTGGAGCATGCCTGGGATCCCAGCACCTGGGAAACTGAGGCAGGAAGATTCTGAGTTAGAAGCCAGCCTGGGCTACTTAGCAAGACTTTGTCTTAAAAAGCAAGAAAATACCAAAACAATAATAACAGCAGCAACAAAGTCTCAGAAATAAAAAGCCTCAAGATGCATTTTTGAGTTGAAATAAAGTAATAGTGAAAAAGTTAGCTTCTGCAGGTTTGACTTTGAGCTTACTTGAAGGAGACAAAAGAAATTCAGATTCATTCTTAATTTCTATTGAAGTTTCAAAGATTTGAGATCCATCTTGGCTGAGACAATTGAAAGGTATTTACAAGCTCATTTAATACATTATATTTTCCATATGTTAACACTGCTCAGCAGTTTCCTTGGGCATTGCTATCTGTCATTCAGTTCCTGGATCTCTCATTGGAACCGTACACTGTAGTCCCTTGCATTTGGTAGGCGGAGACCAGTAGATCACTTGAGACCAAGAATTTGATGTCAGTCGGTGGAGCTAGTGAAACCCTGTGACAAGCAAGTAAATACTTTCCTGTGGAATGCTTACTCTTTGCAGAATGCAGGATAAGTAGGCTGTCATGCCCATTGCTGAGTGATGTTTAGGTTATTGGAGAATCAAACAGATACTTAAAACTGAATATTGCAATTGTGGTATATGCACAAAAGAACTATAGTGTTACTAATTTTGATCAGAGGGGTTAAGGAAACCATATGAACTGGAAACTTCTAAAGAAGGCAGAAAGGAGGAAGGGAAGGCAGGGTAGCAGGCATATTTAAGTAGGGTGCGAGAGAGATAAGCAGAGGGTGGTAAAGAAGTTTGTTTTATAGTTTGGGCTATACTTTTCACATTTTGACTTCACCTTAAATATGGTTCTTTTCATCCTCATAAAATGGCTTCCAGGAAAATTGGATCCTTTCTTACTCATTCCTAGTGACATGGAGAGGGACATGTATATGTGGGAAAGGGAGACCTACCCAGCATATACCAAAATTCTTTTCTTTGGGTTTGAGTGTCCTAATAGAGCATCTGTGTCCAACCTGGAACAGTTGTTTCCTTAACTAACAAGACCCTTCCCTGGAACTGAGGATGGATGCCCTCTTCCTGAAGGCTGAAGATGCCAGAGCTGAGCAAGAATTCTATTAAGGGAGAAGAAGGGCAAAATGGTTTTGGGAAGGCCTCCACCAATGTATCCCATAGGAATTTAATTATGTGTATGTGTGTCCCTGCATGTATGTGTATGTGCATGTGAGTGTAGGGGCTAGAAGAGGATGTTGAATCTTCTGAATCTAGAGATACAGGCAGTTGTGAACTGCCCACGTGGTGCTGGGAACCAAACTCAGCTGAGTCATCTTTCCAACCCTTTATGGCTGAATCTTATGCTACACTCATCACTTTGTGCATCACACCTTGCTCTACAGTTGGTAGAACTTCTTTTATCATGTTGTTATAGTCTGATTCAGCAGAGATGAGTCTCCCAGCTAAATAAAGATTAGGGAATTAGGGAAAGAGGAGAAGAAGAAGAAGGAGAAATACCTAAATATGACTTATTATTATATTTTAACATAAAACTTTACCCTAAAACACAATTAAGATATTGTAGAAAATAAATCTTTTTCTATTTGTAGAAAATAATCTTTTTCTATTTGTGCAAAATGGCTAATTATTAGATGCCTAACACTCCTCCTACAGGCAGAATTATGAAATTGCATCCTTTGCTTCTAAAATAATTTTCTTCTGTGTATCAGCAAAGTATTTACATAACAATATTTTCTCTTTTGTGTCAAATTCTGAATAAACATGTGGATACTTGAAAAGTTTCGGTCTTCCTGTCTAGCTTACTTTGGATATTATAAAGTGCTACACAAAATGAGAATAAGGTCCTGGTAAAATTGTGTAACATGATTCAATTCACATTTTATTAGAAGGAAAATTTATAGAGTAGTGAGAAAGTGCACACATCTCTGTATGCCCACTGCTTTACACAGTCCATTTGCATTGGTGAGTGCTAGTGGAATAGGACTTTCATAAACTCTGTATGAGTGTTTATGAGGAAATCATACTCTGTGTGTGTGTGTGTGTGTGTGTGTGTGTGTGTGTGTGT